ATAAAAGATATAAAGTTGAACAAAATATACTTTAAAAACTCAATTTAGGGGGAAAACACAAAGAAAAATCATAAGCGTGTCGTGGTTTTATATGTGATAAAACACTCCTATGCGTGCTTTAAATAGTACTTAAAGTTCATAATCTGTATAAAGAATATCAATTGGATCATCACTTGAATCATCCTCTACATTAAGCCTGACTGATTTTGACAGTTTGTGTCTTTTCCTTTGCCTTTGACCTCTGCTGCTTTGCTCTCTTCAGTTTACGTTTCTCCTCACTCTCACAAACTGTGCTTGAATCAAATCGTTTCATTAATTGATTATACTAACATGTTCCACATCATTAGCGATTTTCTCAGATTCATTTATCAACTCCTATCTGTTGTATTGCAATTTCATTGCTTGACATCTGCAGGACAACTCTCTGTAACGATCACAATCGATATTTTCCTTTGGGATTGCACCATATTTGTAACTGGAAACAATATCAGCAAGTTTCTCGATGCTGCATTTCATATTCCACCTGAACTGACATTGACCATTCAGATATATTTGGGAACCAGATTGCTTAGAAGTGTATGCCAAGAGGTAAATCTCCTTGGTTAGCTGGTCATGATAAATCAGCCTCTTGGATTTTGCATTTGGTATAGTAAACTTTTGCCTCTTTATCCATAATTTTAGCATTCTCACCCAAGACAAATTTCCCACCAACAAATAAAATTCCTATATAAAAGAAAGAAAATATATTATATTATTTGGAAAAGGAGTTCTGATTATTCTGACTTTTCCCTATCAAGTATTGTAAATGTCTGATTTCTCACTACCTCAAAGATAAGTGAGCAAAGGCCTTCAGTCAAGAGGTAAGGGCCTTCCCTTGAAAAAAAAACATGGAGATGTTTTATTCATATCTTTCAGGTATTGGAAAACACAAACATTAAAGCTTAATATACAGTCGTCACTGTATTTTAAATATACTAGTTTATATGTGGACATGTTGAATGTTGATATGATCAATATATCTAAGTATTCATGTATGATGTAAAATGGAGAGCCTTCTTCGATTTTGAAACAAATATTGATATGACAAAGCGGAATTCACTATTTATATTAAAATGACTTCGGATATGATATTTCTCACTATCATTCTGCAAAATATATTTGCCATCTCCTCATATCATGATCTGTAAAAATACCTTTCATGGATTGTCCCTCAACAGGTAGTCATCATAGTGTAATAATTTAATAATATGCATTGTTAAAAACTGCAGTTCCTCCGGCTCCAATGACTTAATCAAATCAATGTCGTCAAAGCCAGTCTCCTTAAATCTTTCAAAATATTCCACAGCCAATTTTTTCGATTGGAGAAAGGCTTCAACTTTCACTGGCCGCCATGTTTTTTTAATGTGAAGAAAAATCACTCGGGCCAGACTTGGGTAGCACTTGCTTAATTTGTTTATTTCAACTGCATGCTACAGTTCAACAAATTTCTACAGATGTTCTACAGTCTATTATAAAATTTCCAATATAATTTACAGTCTGTAGTAAAAGAATATGTTAAAATATGAATGGACCAACAAGAGTTGGAAGACCAAGGAAATCAGAGTTACAGCTGAGGTCTGAAAATGCTGCAAGAGCAGATTTAGTTTGAAGAGCACGTTTTAGTTCCCATCTGCCCAGATCATTAATACAGCCATGTCTTGTTAAGGAAAATACAATGAGTATGACTGGTTGAACTTGGTATTGGAAGTAAAACTTAATACACTGAAGGTATGTGAATTGGATAAGTACATTGATGAAAACAAGTTAAGTAAGAAAGGAAAGAAAAAAGATTAACTGAGTGCAATTACTGCAGACATTCTACACAAGAGTAATACTGGAACTGTAGAAAAAGTTTTAAAGCAGGGGCAAGTAGATGAAGGAAGCAATGAAATGGAAAGTGAGGAAAGCGAACAGGATATTATTTTAGAGGAGTTTGGCACAGAAAGTGAACCTGATGTTGAATCAGACCATGAACAGCAGCAAACTATAAATGATCCAGTTTCTTTTATTGTCCAAATTCGTTTTGGACAGATGCTGGAAATTGGGCATTATCAGCACTGAAATGAAGAGTCATAAAGTGGAAACTGGTAGTCCTGTCAAGAAAGGTACAGATATGTGTAAAAAGTAACAAAATGCACCATTTCTGCCAGGGTTGGGTAATGCACCATTTCTGCCAAGGTTAAATATAGTGAGGTAATCCAAATTTCTGGTTAAAGTTGGGTTGGGTAGTATTTTTCTAGTATTTTATTAAGACAAACCGATATTGTAACCGTAGGTTAAATTGCATCGGTCTTTACAATATTAAACTAAGTAAACTACATTATATTTACAATACGAATTAACTACTTGATGTTTATAGTAAAAATTTTAAAATACAATAGATCTATTTACTATTTTCTTTAGAGATAGTTCGTGGTAAAAACGAGTTTTTAAATCTGTCCATTTTACATAAAAAGTTTTTATATTTACATTTTGACCTCGTGTCATAATCTAACGAAGTTTTACAGATCAGATGTTCGTAAACTTTACTGTTACTTTAATTCTTCGCAAAGAATTGGTCACATAGTTCATCACGTCTTGATTTGAGTAATGGGAGGTCGGTCAGTTCATGTGCCTGCCTATAGCTTAATGAAGGCAATATGATTCTTAGTGCGCGTTTTTGGATTTTCTCATTCTAAAACAGGTCTTATGATGGAAGTGAAAACCGTGAGCAATATCTTCAAATTGGCATTCGATCTTTTCAAAATCCGAAGCATGTACAGTCTTTTTCCAGCTTTCGTAACAATTTGGTGTATGTGGTCATTCCAATTCATATTATTTTGAAAGGTAATTCCGAGGATACGAGTTGATTCTACGTGTTTCACTGGTACGTCGTTGATCAGTAGAGGCGTAAAGTTTACGTTTTTCTTTGGAAAGTCAATGACCATTTCTTTACATTTATCTATGTTGAGCTTCACATTGTTTGCGATAGTCCAGTTATAAATATAGTCCACTAAGTCTTGGAGATTACTGTTACAGTGAGGTGGGATATTTTTGGTGACCGTACAGTCGTCGACATATTTCAATCTATCAGGCCATTCAGTAAGTAGGTCATTTACCATGATAAGAAAGAGAACAGGACCAAAACTGTCCCTTGAGCTACTCCTCCATTTACATTGCGCCAATCCGACAGTTGTTCAGTTTTACTTGTTGTTTACGTCTTGTGAGAAAGCTTTGAATCCAGTCTATTATAGTTGATGGTACATTCATATCAGACAGTTTCTGCAAAAGAATAGAATGGTCGATACGGTCGAATGCCTTCGAGAAGTCAAGAAGGAATACTCTTATGGCACTCTTTGCCGCGTCTGTCTCGCTTAGTAGATGATGTACGAGACTTATTAAGTTGTGGGTTGTTGAGGTGTTTTTAAGTGAACCAAACTGTCTTTCATCTATTTTTTCTTTGATCAAATCAATCAACCAATCGGCAACAAAACTTTCGCAAATTTTTGAAAGTGTAGGAGTTAGCGATATAGGGCGTAAATCGGTACTTATATCAACAGGTACTGTTACTTTTGGGATTGGGATAACGTCAGGTTCTTTCCACGATGTAGGAACGTGTGCTTGTTGCAGTGAAGCGTTAAAATTGAAGATATAGATAAAGCTTAGATGTGGGCGTACTCCCTGAGCACCCAATTTGGTGTTTCGTCGGGGCCAGATGATTTTGAAGAGGATATAGTAATTTTTTGTATATGTTTTCTTCAAGTATAGCGTTCAAGCAAACCAAGTAACCCACCATAATTCCGTAGTTTATAGACATATTTCTTTCACTAAGCCTAGGGGAATCAATGCATGCAAGTATTGCCTATGATAAGCCACAGTCTAAATAAGCCCAGGGATATTTTCAAGCACTTTAGTATACTACTGTTTTTTCAGAAGAAGATTGAGTTTCTTTTGGAGGGAGGGAGGACGTCAAAATATTTTGTGGTCAGGGAGCGCACATTCCAAAATATTTTGTAAGGGTGTAAAATAAACGACTTTTATGTGTTTACATGTTGGAAAGGGGAGTTCCTCGAGGTGCTACATGCACCATGGTTGGCACCGAGCGGAAAAATTTTGAAACTTTGAAGTCTCTAGATCGTCGGAAATGGCATTTTCAGACTTTAGTTTGGCCATCAGCTAGCTGTAGAGCACAGAAAGGAAGTTGATTCAGGTAGTGTCAATGGAACATTTACATTAAAAAATCAAATTGTGAAAAAAAATTGTGGGGGAAGATCGAGTTTCAAAACTGAATTGAAGATTGAATATTTACTACCGTATACCGGTGGTAGAAAAGTGCTTCAAAATATCCCTGAAGCCACAATTTATACTTGCATGCATGCTCACTTTTTTTTTAGTGATATAACTCTAGAAACAGTGTCACAGCAAATAAGCCATTTGTATTGATATACAACTGAGTTTGGGTACAACTAATTTTTAATGAAAATGTTAATTTTATCTTCACTGCAGCTGGCGATTGGTGATACATGGAGGGATTGATGGTTTCTCACGTCTTGTTGTATTTTTAAAGTGTGTAGACAACACAGGGCACCCACCCACAGTGCTGGAGCATTTTGAAAAGGCAGTAAACATGTATGGTATTCCTAGTAGAGTTCGATCGGACAAGGGGGGGTGAAAACACTCTTGTTGCTATGTACATGCTTACTAACTGAGGTACAAACCGTGGAAGTCACATTACCGGTAGGAGTGTGCATAATCAACTAATCGAACGTCTTTGGAGAGACTTGTTTACTGTTTTATAATATTTTCTATTTTATGGAAGAGCATGGTTTATTAGATCCTACAGATGAAATCCACTTGTTTGCATTACACTATGTTTTCCTACCAAGAATAAACCAAAATCTAGAAATATTTAGAGAAAGTCATAACAAAGCACCATTAAGCACAGAAAAAACAGATCTCCTGAGCAATTATGGTTGACTGGTATGCTTAACAGAAGTACTGAAGAGGCTGATGCTGAAGACAATCAGGTTAGGCAAAAATTAGAAGTATAGATTACATGAAAATAATGATGTGACCAATAATAAAAAGTTAAACAATCAAGTTAAACACAACTGTTTCTCAAATTTTAACCAACGAACAGGCGTACTCATTACGGCCTGCAGAGAAGGTAGATCAAATATTATGTTACTGTATGAAATGTTACAAGCAAAAATGTCAGTTTTAGTCTTTCATCATTACTAATATTCTTCTTCATCGTTCTGTTTTTTTAGGAACGCAATTTGCATGGAGTTGATTGGGATGTGGCAGATGTGTCAAGTGCCGACTCAGTTGAAGTTCCAGAAGTACCTGCACCAACATTGCAAAATGGGCTTCAGGAATTAAATGAAGTCATTGATCCTTTAAAAGAGAGTGATTGCCATGGTATAAACTTATACATAGAAACACTGGAGTATATTTGGAACAGAATATAATTTGAATGTTTTTCTGAAACGTTTATAAATAATTTTGTGTTAACAGGTTTTTGATATTTTTACTTTAGCTACATTTCAGATAGTTTACTATCCTTCCCCTGGCTATTTATACAAATTGTTCTAAACAAATTGTTCTATTTACAGAACAATTTGTGTAAATAGCCTGAGGACGTATAGTAAATTGTCTGAAACGTAGCTGAAGTAAAATTATCAAAAACCTCTTGTGTAATCCTTGATTTAAATTAAAGACACAAAAATGTAGAATATAGTTTACTATTATATACACAAGCTCTGGATATTCTGCAATGTGATTGGTTCTCTACTAGCAGGATATTAAGCATGTATTCTGCTAGTTAGATTTGGAGAATTAAATAAAGCGGAAATTCAAGTTTTACTTCAAAATAGGACGCCGAAATGCACAGAGCTTGTGTATCTAATAAAACAGTTATTCAGTATTCTGCTCACTCTCGTTGTATACTGTATATCATCAGCTCGTGTATACGACTTGAGTTCGCAGAATAACTGTTAAATACTCAATAGCTTTGTGGTAACACCACATATAATAGGTTTTGTTTGTGGAAACACCGCGTAAATTTATTACTGCAAAGCTTTCGATCCGTAAGCCCGGATCTTCATCAGTGCTAATAATATGTGACTTGTTTAATTCACACGCTCTTTTTATATACAAAAGTGTCGTGATCTGTTGGCTCGCGTCATTTGAAATTTAATTAAACAGCACATCAACCACATTGGTGAAACTGGTCGAAATCTCTCAGTACGTCTTAAGGAACACAAGACGAATTGTGAGAAAGCCGAGCAAGATAAATCTGCTGTGGCTAAACATACTTGGACTTACTTACGACCATCGTATAAAAATGGACGAAGCAACCATTTTGGCGATTGATAGTCATAAGTTCTTTCGCAAAATCAGAGAGTCAATTGAAATCGAGAAGCACAATACTATAGATCAGGAGGGAAAGCCACTAGATAGTACGTGGCGTGCTCTCTTTAATGTGCAAAATTAATTTCTCTTGTCTTGGATGCACGCGCGTTAATTGGAATCACTTCACTACGTTTGAAATGACGTGGTTGATGTGCCGTTTAATTAAATTTCAAATGACGCGAGCCAACAGATCGCGACACTCTTGTATATAAAAAGAGCGTGTGAATTAAACAAGTCACATATTATTAGCACTGATGAAGATCCGGGCTTACGGATCGAAAGCTTTGCAGTAATAAATTTACGTGGTGTTTCCACAAACAAAACCTATTATATTTTATCACCATGCAAACATACAAAGAACTTAACACCACATATATTTATTATAATTGCAAAGCTTTTGATTGGTCAGCCCAGATCTTCATCGGTGACAATAGATCTAATATTCATGTATATAGTGTACGTGGTGTTTTCCAAAACTACAGAAACTTAGAATATAATTTGTGTGAGGACATGGTTGTGGTACATAATACATCACCTGGGGATGATTATGCCAGTGTTCTGCCATCATATAACAACTAAATTGGAATGAAGAAAAGATCTTTGCATTAAGCTACTAAGTTTTTAAATACAAATGTACACAACAACGGCGGTTACCCTGCATAATGTAAACATTTCTTTTCTGTTGACAGTTGTTTTGTCAATTTTTACTGTGATTTGGTCATAAGAAATGTGGTGATCACTCACTAAACCAATGGTGGAAATGTTGCCATAGAAAATTTGAACACACCCAAAACTCATTAGACATTATGCTCCAGGGATTTGACAAAATATTACCTTCAGTGATAATATTTCATCAGCTCGGGTAATATTTTGCCAAATCCTTCTCGCTCCAAGACCAAGTTTATAAATGATAACTACACTTACAATATTCAGGGTTACCTTTGTGACTTGCAAGTTTTTTAAGAATTTATTTGTCCCTTAAGCTCAAACAAGACAGTATCCTTAATTAACCAACAAACATTTTCCAAAACTAACAAACTGTTCCCAAATGTTTGGGACTTGATCAGAGGTAATTTCTAAACAGGTAACATATATGTCCTTTAAAGGTCTGAGAACCCTTTGTATCCATATTTCACGGCTGTATCCATGTTCTCCTTAAATTGGGCATAATCATTGTAGACAGTTGGAAGTGTTATGGTGTTGAAGCAGTCCTGGAAAAGGGCATTGGTCGCTCATCAGTGGCGAATTTAACAACAAGTCGTCAATTGTCTGTTGGCAATACATCCACTCCTGCCCGGAAGCTTATCAGATCTTTGAGATCAACACCTGCAGGAATATGTGTAACAATGTAAACAAAGGTAAGCACCTTAGTATAATAGATTTAATAATGGCATTATTTTGGTATGATCACCACTTGCCAGTTTGCAAATTGCAAAGTAAAGCAAAATACCATAATCGGTACAACGGTGGATTCATCTCTTCTAATGAGAGAAAATTCTATATTTTTTTTCAGAAAGGAGAAAAAGGAATATTCTTTCAATTGTTTACTTGGTTAAAACCCTCTTGCAGTAATTAGGGAATCCAAGATAAAGAAACAGATAGTGTATGGATAATAATTTGACCAGATATATTACTTGGCTCTAACAAAGAACTCATTACCTTTCATGCATCCATCTTCAAGATCAAAAATGTATCTTGTAAGGAAGCTTCCTACCAGATGTTCATGCTCTGACCCAGCATGTACAACCAAGGACCTTTCATTTTCAACATCTGTTGCTTTTACAACACGAGCGATATCTCGTGGAAAGAAGAGGTCAGCAACAACAGGCTGTCGCTTCAAGAAGGAGATCATTGAAACTTGATTTAAACCATGTGTGATATCATCGAGAATATGCCTTCTTCTTTCAAAGACATTATACATCAGTAATCCTTGGATACTAATCTCTACATTAGCCTCAGTCAAAGGTGGTAAACCTACCTCTAGTAAATATGGCAATAATGTGGATCTATGGTCTTCTGTTATACTACCGTTCTGGATCTAAAAGTTAAATAACCATCAGAACATTAGTATATAGCTTAATAGTAATTTCCAGGGCTTTATCCAAGCACTTTTGCTAACCCCCGTTTTAGAAAAGATTATTCCGTTTTTGTAACACACAAATGTAGCCCTGGGAGTCTAGGGGCAAAGTCCCTGAAAGCTTTTGCATCTTAGACTATGTTGCCGCCACGTTGCTCAAATGTAACTGTGTGGTTTGGGATTGATGTAATCTTATGTGAACATTGCACAATACTAAAGAGGCCATGCATCGATGTACTCGTATTCGAGCATATTTTTTCTGCAGCTTTTTCACTCTTCCAGCTCAAAGTTGTGTAAATTGTAGATTTTAGTTCGAATAATGTACTTTCTGTTTGTAATATTGGTTATTCTTCAATCATCCCATTTCATTTTGTGCTGATGTGATCAAAATTTTTTATCAGAAATCCAAACATGCATGCCATCCAAGCATGGTAGCTTTATAACATAAACATGTCATTTTATTTGGAAAAAAACCAGCTCAAATAATCCTGTTTCCTGGAATTCCAAAAACTAAAGCAAGTGAAAATGATTTCTTGTTGTTTTTTTCTTTTCGTTGGGGAAAAAGTTCAGTTTAAAAACTCAATCCAAGATTGTGTTTTCACCTCTGTTTACCGGAGGTCAGTTGGTACTTGGATAAAGCCCTGATTTCTGTTAATACTACAGACTATACAACAAATTGACGAATGACTACAAGGTCTGCTCTGGCAATAAGGTTTCTAAGGGAAATATGAAGTAGTCATGAAGAAAATACTGCAGCAATAATAGTCTTTCAACCTAGAATACAAAAAGGAACCAAGTACCTCCTGTAGGACTGTTCTGAGCTCATAATCAGGAATATCATCAAGAGACAATGGCAATAGATCTCTTTCCATATCATCCACTTTCCAGTAGTGAATAACAGCACGAGAAAGGCCATAATAAGGAGAACCACCATGTAAAATAAAATGTGCCAACATTTCCCCCACATTTGAATACAGACCAGCCTGTTTCATGAGGTTATTCACTTCAGGTAGTTTATGATCTGTACTTCCTTCAAATATAATCACTCGTCCTTGACCAATATTGGATAACCCAACTTTCTAGCAGTTGCAGAGAAAGACAGAAAAACTCCTTAACTGAACCAATCCCCACTCCAGGTTCTGATTCAAATCGGACTCTTGGTTCAGCTTGTAATCTGAAAGCTGGATTCTTATACATTCCTAAAAGATCATTTTCCAGATCGTCCTCAAACCGATTGATGAAAATGCGCTGTGGAGCATCGTCTGGTACTTTATTTTCTTCTCTAAATTTCTGCAAGGCTTTTTGAGGATCAAGTATTTGTATTTCACCTAAAAGAGAGGGAAAATACGAAATAAAAGTTGTGCCAAAGTAAAAATAGTCCGGTCATTTGAAATTGAATAGTGTGCAATCAAGCTGGCTGCTGCACATGGACAGTAAACCTATTTTAATTAAAATATGTATGACTTGTCAAAACATGGTACCTAGCAACTTTGACTTAGTAACTAATTAATAATCAGACCAGTCAATTATAATCACAAGCCTGTATTCTTAGAAATTGATAGAAATTTAACCAAACATTCTTTCCATAAGATGACTGCTATATTTTATACTATTTCTACAGTAGTTTCTCTCCCTTAAAATAACAGGGGTCTTTTTATTTCGTTTTGTTAACCCATTAGAACATATTGTCACCACATGGTCCACATGCACTCTATTTAGCATTTTAACCATGGGTTAGACACAGACTATACTAAGGTGGCTCCCTACAATTTTTGAAATATGACAAAATCATGATTTAGATCTAATTTTTTGAAGAGAGGTTTCTTGTTAGAAGAAAAAAATTGTACCACATATACTGAGCACCTAAGAATTGAAAATTGTTGATGGTAACAATGACATTTCTGATTTACAGAATTTTTTAAACTTGTTCATATCATTCATTTTTCTATATGAAAACGTTTCATGAAATAAAAAATGGGGGTAACTGGCCTTTTTTTTAGTAAAATGTATAAAAGGTAAAATGTTGGCCATATTGAAATGTCATTGTTACCATAGCAACGGTAATGACGTCATTTTCGTGAACAATTTTCAACTCTTAGAAGATTGCTCAATATATAGGTTGTACCATTTTTGTCTTCTAACAAGAAACATCTCTTCAAAAAATTAAATCTAAATCACGATTTTGTCATATTTCAAAAATTGTAGGAGCCACCTTAAGAACCGCCAAACCCATTAATTTTTAACTTCAACTTACAGTCGTTTTTGACTGATTTTGCTTCAGATGAAGTCAGTGTGGATGATGGCAAATAGTTTGCTCTTGTTTTACTCATAAACATAGTACTATTCAGAAGTATCTCATCATCACCTATAAAAACAAAGAAGCAATCATCTTTTAAAAGCGTTCAATTAAAAGCTGATTGCCTGACACAACAGTTATCAGGTTTTAAAAAACCAGTCTGCATAGTTTGTATCATGCAACAGAGACACCCGCTTATTACGCACTAGCTGCTTTGGTCTTCTCTTATATGGGGCAGCACAAACTGCGAGGCAGCGAGGCATGGTGAAAATCATAACTAACACGTTTAAAGTGCCTACGAAACCCAAAATTTAATGAGAATGAAAAAAATACACTACAGCCTTAGGCGGTGGAAGTTTAGTTAACTTATCTTCAGGCCGAACCGGTACTTTCTGAATTCTACAGTATATTCTATTGTATATTCTGTAAAAAGCAGGAATAATTCTGTAAGCAAAACAAGGTTGAAAGTTTGAGTATTGTTGACCTTAAAAGCCATGTATCTCAATTTAACTTCAAACTGCTTGATACAATGGGATACATACAGGATTTAGAAATTTCTAAGGACTCCCTCACTTGCTCCTCACCTGCATTATATACTGACATATGCCATCATCGGACTTGGATCTTACATAAGATTTTTGACTTCGACAAAACAGAAGCATTAATTTATAAGAAGCATTTTTCAACCAATGAATGGTCAAAAATTGTACAGGCATTCCCTGACAAAGTTCCACGCTACCTTGTAAACGTACACCATTCAAACCGAGATGCAAAATGTGCTACATGTAAAAAAACTTTGCGTTCGGGAGACGTACAGACAACGACAGAAGGTCAGTGAATAACCGGCATACTGCGTAACTGGATAATACACACATTCCTTTTCTGTCCGAAATTAAGTTGCTTCAGCACAATGCCTCATAACTCGTACATTTGTCCGTGTATTTTTTCATTTTCATTAAATTTTGGGCTTCGTAGGCACTTTAAACGTATTAGTTATGATTTTCACCATGCCTCGCACGATGCCTCGCTGCCTTGCATCATGCCTCGCTGCCTCGCAGATCGTGCCTCGCATTATAGTTAAACTCCTCTTATATTTACTAAATAGTAAATAATTTTCTCTAAATATCTGCTGCACGGTTTGCAGGTTGCAAATTAAGTTACTTACCAGTCTATCTTCAAATGAAACAGTCGTTAATCTTTGAGTTAAGCCCTTTATAGTTTACTCATTAATAGGCAATTGGCCCCTTTGGTGTGGTTTATTTTACTCTGTTCAATACCAGACGACATTTCACTCATCAAAGGGACACCTTTGGGAATTAATGGGTTAAACCCTGACCATGCTACTGTAAAACTACAACCATGATACACCCATTTCCATGCAGGCTTTATATATCAATGTTGAAGTTTGTGTTGGACTAACTTTATATTCAAACAACACGAATTCTGGGATTCTGCAAAGCGGACCATATACACAATAAAGTACTTTACACTGTACTTACTTGAATCACTACTATTTTCCTCAAGAAGATGTATAGCAGCATTTTCAACATCTCCAAAACAGTTTTCTACAGTTGTAGTGACCTTCTGCTTATCCACATTGGGAAACATTTCACACAGGTTTTCAATGGCCTAAAATGACCACAGAATCCCTCTACCTTTACGATTGGGGGTGAGGTTGGGTATACAGTCTGTCTGGATTCACATATCAGAGAATGGGTGGTATAACGTTTGGGGAACTCCACCCACCCTCCTTGGCCCAAAATTAACCAATATAATTTTTCTGTCACAGTTACTGTTTCCACTTTGCAAAATCAAAATTTCCTTTGGGATGTTTGTTACTTGTCAAGTCGACTCAAGTGAAGGGTCTTGTGCATTAATTATTATTTGTTAAGATTTTCATCCATAAGAATTTCAGAATGTATTTCATCTCAAGTAGGAATTCAAACATAGATTTTACAGATTATCTGTTCAGATTTATTGATCTAAAAAAGCATCTAAAATACATTTAACCCATTAACAGGCAATGTGCCACTTTACTATTTTACTCTGTAATGTACACCAGATGATTTTACTTGGCAAAAGGAAGCCTTTGGGCTTTTATGGGTGATGGTTAGAGTGACAGCAATCATTGTAGTATGGGAAACAGGTGTGAAATAGGAACCTATAGGAACCTATGGTTACGGTTCACTAGTCCGAAGGTTCACTAGTCCGAAGGTTCACTACTCCAAAGGTTCACTACTCCGAAGGTTCACTAGTCCAAAACATACGCTGGTTTTGAATTGCAATTACGTGTTAAACTTGCCTGCTTCCCAGTTAAGGATTTTTCATATTTGCATATACACGCATGGAAAAATTTAAATCCACTTGAAAGTCTTTTGTCAATTTAAGAAATAATTAAATGAATAAAAGGATTAGTTTTGTGTTTGATTTTAAATGTATTTTTAAGTAATTATTATACTTATACCGGTATAAAATTTAGAAAGATTTATAAACTTCCGTGCATGTATATGCAGGTACGAAAAATGCTTAACTGCGAAGCAGCCAAGTCTAACACGTAATTGCAATTCAAAACCAGCGTATGTTTTGGACTAGTGAACCTTCGGAGTAGTGAACCTTCAGAGTAGTGGGAAGTCACTGAACCTATAGGTTGGCCTATAGGCCAGGCCTATAGACTTTTTTGTAAGGGTTCGAATGTTTACATGGAAATCGAGGCAAGTCATGCATTTTACAACCTTGTAAACTGTACAAGCCCCTATTTTTACGCTTATACCTAAGATATCAAATAAAAATACGGCCATGGCTAGTTTTTAAAACATCTTTATTTCTGTTCCGGTCATCACCAAAATTACACTAAAGCCGGGCTTGAATATACAACAAATTTTGAATCTCATCAAGCACAAAAATATTTAACGTGTAACCAAAATATGCTCATGAAATCGAAATTAATAGCTAAATTTTCAAACTAGACCCTTCTAGAGCCGGTTTTCATGAAGGAAGTCCACATTTCGGCCTTTGATTCTTGGCAAAAATTTGACCACAACACGTGCAAAGCAACTGGGTCTCAAAGACTCGGCTAAAACATTGTGAGCCCCTATTTTCCTGATGATATGTTTGATACCTACAAACACCGAAAAGATTTTTCTTTTCATTTAGCTATATTTGAAATTGAGGCCACAGGCTATTTTTGAGAAAATACAGTTCAAAGTCAAGCTATTTTTACATATTTTCAAAATTTGTCAAATTTTGCAAGCTTGTATTTTGAACTTAGACAGTTGAAGTTACATTAAGAAACATACGATGGAAAATTTGAGGCATATAAAGTTAATTTCAACTTACATTTCATTCTCATAACATGTCTTTCTTTGTTTATTACGGTTTTAAACAAGCCACAGATCGACGTATACGGTATTTACTCCCATGTTCACGTCGCCATATTAACTTCTTCCAATCACTCGATTACAAAACAAATCATCCCAAAACAAATCATCCCAAAACAAAGAATTCATAGTCGACTTTTAAAAGAATAACTGTTAATTTGTAAATCGTTGAATGGAAAGCAAAAAATCGTCAGCTAAAACAGCTTCTTGCTAACTTTCTGCTTTGTTTTGAATGTAAATGCAACGAGCTTTGTTTCTGCCCGCAATTTTTTGGTCAGTGCCGACAAATTTCCTACCTGTTAGTATGGGAGATAAAGAAAATAATAGACCTTACCTTTTTGTTCTTACAGTCAATCTTAGACTTTTCAGAGCTAAAATGAATAGAAATTAATTTATATAATTTAAAAAAATAATTAATGAACAATATACTGTGTATTAGATTACATATTAATTCAGAAAGGGGCAAACTTACATTGAACACATATTGGTGTGCTGCTTTATCTGGGTCATTGGTATCTGTTTGTTGCAATTCAAACATGTTACTGTTGGAGCTTCTGTGTAACTGCTATCATTCTAAAATCCAGTTGAATTAAAGAGATCAATTTTCATTAGATAAAACAAAACCTCATTCCAGTAGTTTATCTGCTTACTTTACGTAGCACCATTTCATATAGATGAGCTAGGGGGGTAAATTACTCTAAAAAAGACGTACAAAGATTCTTGGGATTAAAAAATCACTGCAAATTTTTCTTGGGATTCTGGGATTTTTTTTCCCAAATTGTCAGAAATTTTTGGATTTTGTTCATGATCTCCCCCCAAATATTTTGCATGTTTTTTGTCGCTGATCTTTTTCATAAAAGCAGAACTTTATATAAACAATCATAAGAAAAAATAAGCGAATAAATAGGCAAAACGTAGCTAAACACATGTTTTGTCGCCATTTTTCCCCAGATCCTGTGATAAAAAATTTTACATGAGGTGTTGGATGATGAAGATTTTGAGGCTATGGAATGGATATAGGAGTTTAGGTAGGATATTTCCATGGGAGATTTTTCAAAACTTGATGGAATTTACCGATGTTGAAGTTTTCATTGGTCTTTTCTGAGTATTTTCTGAAATATTTAGAGATTTCATGGGATTTTTTTTATTTTAAAATTAGTAAGATTTGGGGATTTTTTAAAGATTTTTTGGATTCTTAGCAAAGTGTACAAAGAATTTCAGAGTAATTTACCTCTCATATAAATGTGTGAATGAGAATTTAATTCATGCATTGATTGACTAGCACTAGCTAGCACTTTAAAACGTAAAATCATCTGGCATTAGACAGAGTAAAATATTCTGGTGTTAGACAGAGTAAAATACTAAAGTTGGGGCGCTTTACCACTTACAAGGTTAAATAAATAGACTTGCATATATTTATATGTTGGTATAATTAAATACAATTGATGAAATTCATATGCACTAATAGGTCAAGCTAGTAGAATATAACGTATGCAACATTGGGTAAAAACAACAATCAGGGGCATTTAGAGGAGCACCCCCCCCCCAGAGGGAATAGTCTTGGACTCTCTGTACACCATTGATAACAATTTTATTACACTATAGTGGGGTTCAAAATGAAAAGAATTATTAGCATTGAAGGTGTATGTTCACAGTACCTCATTATCCAACACCACAGAAACGTCTTCTGTTATATCCAAATTTATTTGTGCAGGCCTCACGTAAGCCAATGCCTGACCAAGACCTGAAATATCTCGTAAGAATGGCACTGTAGCCAGCTGCGGGAGGAGGAATTAAAACCAACGACTGGACATTTACCCCACTTCTAAGAATCTCAAATCCACCACACAAGCCTGGGAAATATTTCTTCTAACTTGGCTTTAAATGTAAAGGGATTGCCTTTCCATTCAAATATTATCTTCTTTCTACCAAGACCGGCAGACTGCAGTTGGAACTCTACTGCCCGACTAGGTACGCTGCTGCAACCACTATCAGCAAGACAGAAAAACTTGTGCATCCAGGTTTCCTTGACTTTATAAGACCTTTGACTGCTGTTAGATTTTCTAGGTCGTTTGGCGCTAGGCGCTAGTATTGAATTTTGCCTCCGATCCTTATCTCGCTTTGCACCACCACTGGAAGACACACCAACTTGGCTGGCTGAATTGTTACAATCAGACAAAAACCTGTTGTTGCCGTTCGTCCGGTTCGAAATGCTATACTGCCTCAAAGTCGAAGGTTGAGTCTCCACAGATGTCAAAAGTGATGACAAGTTATTTTGATAAGTTTCGCCTTCATTCTCGTCTACATCAAGAATGCCAACAACTTCTCACAGAAGTGATACAGCCCTAGAAAAGCCCTCACACGACTTTCGCTTACCACCGTCCGCCATTTTGACTTACACTATAAACATGTGAGCTGCTAAAGTCTTATTTTGGCGCGAAAAAAGATGCACCCTTCCACTGATCCCCCCCCTTGATAAATTTATCCAATGACGTCATTGACCAAGTATGATGTTTTGCCGAGCTGACATGGTGTTCTGAGGTCAATTAGCACTGCCATTGCAAATTTTGTATTGATGCTATGATGTCCTGCTTAACTGTTATGATGTCCTGTGGTTACCGAGACATAAAATTTACGTTCTTCAGCAAATAATTTGGACACAAATTTTGACGGCAATTACCCCCCATAAAATAGTGGTTTGGATTGTGATTCGAACAAGACTATTATGAAAAAGATATCTTGAAAGGGGCCGAAGTTATGTTCGACGAAAGCTATGCGTTTGTGATACATTTTATTACATTCTTACATTTTTCGGGAATATTATGTAATCTAGTGAAATATGACAGCTTCATACAGAGGAGCGGTTTTTGAAAACGCTTCTTGGTTTGACGATAACTGTGAAATCCGCATGTTGACTGAAGTTGGAATTGGTCAATGATCTCTGCGGTGATTTTTAAATGGAATTTTTCAAACAGTTTGTGAAGATCTTTTCTTGCTTTGTCAGTAAGTCGAGCAGATGTCCCATTTAAGAGAATAAGTCTGTCATCTCGATAAAGGCCAACACGTTCTTTACCATATTTCTTTGCCAGAGAGTTGGGTATAAATAGCCATAGGAGTTCACAAACTTCTGCCCCATTGTAACTCCCCATGGTGACGTTGAACAAGGGGATGCCCTGTTGTTTGATCCAGGTTTTACCGTTACTGAAGAAAAGGGAGTTCCATGCGTGTTTAACAATCTCAATCTGTTGTTCACTGATGGTGACATAGTTTTGAGCCCAAGCGATTGCTTTGTCAAGGAGTTCTTCGGTTATTGATGGGTAAAATTCTGCAATGTCGAAACTAAGGAAGGAATGACAAGGTTTATTTTTGATGTTATTGAACCAGTCAATGACAGATAAGGAGGTTTCCATTGGTTTACTTCAGTTCTTTTTTGATTTGTGAGTTAATATTGTCAATGGTGATCTTGCTAATTTTACCAAGCTCGCTTTTAGTTTGCAGCAAACTCTGCATGATGGTTCGTCATTCACGTTTTTTGGTGCAACAAGCCAATGTTTAAAAGCAGGATATTTTGTCCATTCTGCTCGAAATTTTTAAATTTTAAATCAGTTTATTCGTTTTTGGAGCGCTTCCCTCGGATTCATAATCAGAAAATTCAGAATCCGCCATTTTCCGATGTAAAAAGTTATTTACATATTTTCGCACCAATTGGCCTATAATCGTGTGCCACTGGAGTGTTCCCTGGAAACTAGGCCAAGTCTAAGGAAATTTTTGTCGATTTAAGGAATTTTTACCGCTGAGCCTAAGGAAAATCCGGAATTCTGTTCTGAGAGCCCTGATTATTAATAACATTTAACATCTCATACGATATGTATCTTCTGAGGCCACATTGCTTCCGTCCCGCAATTAATATTACTAGAAAGTACCATACTAAATTATGTTTGCCTGATGTCGCTGATAGGGATGGAATCGGTAGCAGACAACATCACCAAGGATAATAATTCCTAGAATCCTTAGTCAACCAATGGTACCTGCTCCAAAATTTACCTCTGATGTGAAATATATGTATTCAAAGTAAACTAAAAAATAAATACAACCTCATTCTGAAGGCTTTACACTGTACCAAATAAAATAACAATATGGCATCCTTAAATACCGAGTTCAGCAGGAGGCCTGGTAACTAAAGTTAGTAATGTTCATAAGAAAACAATAAGTTCCTTATAAAGTAGCACATTCTCCCCTACGTAATAATATAACGAAATTGTAAAATAAAGTTAGATAGTCATAGTGTCTCTAATGTTCTATAGATATTCAAGCTCCCAAATCTTACTAAATGTTAGTCAATTTGTTGCCCTTCTTTGTCACTCTGATTGACGCAGAGGTTGGGACTGTTCCTTCCACGTCTTGCGACTGGGTTTCCGCCCCTGTTTGCTCTGGGTCACTTCTTTTCTATGGTTTCCTGCAGAACCAACAGAATGGGATTGGCCTCCGCTGTCAGCCGTTTAATTGACACCCGCTGTCAGCCATTTAATTGACACTGTATCCTCCCTTCCATTGGGAAATCGCACATGAGCATATTGCAGGTTGGCTTCCAGCAGATCAATTTCATCAACCAATGGGTCGTACTTTGAATTTTTTATGTGTTGTTTCAATAAAACTGGACCAGGGGTTGTCAACCAGGATGGCACCGAGACTCCACTGGTCAATTTGCGTTGACAAGCAAACATACGTTCATGTGGGGTCGCATTCGTTGCTGTACAAAGCAGGGACCTTATGGAATGTAGTGCATCCTACAGCACTTCTTGCCAAACACTGGTAGGTTGTCCTTTTGTCTTGAGTGATAAGGTAATGGCTTTCTATAATGTCCCATTCACATGTTCAACCTGCCCATTACATGGTGGATTGTAACTTGTCGTTCTACTGGTTGAAATCCCTTTCTGTAGTAAAAAATTATTTAACTCCGAACTCATAGATCCCTGAGCCACGATCTGTATGGATAAAGGTGGGCATACCAAACATAGAGAACAGTGTTGAGAGACATCTTATATGGTTCGAGCACTAACATCTTCACATGGGAATGTGAAGGGAAATCTAGAATACTCATCAATGATAGTTAACAGAAATCGACATCGATTATCACTGGGCACGGGACCTTTAAAGTCTATGTTCAGTCTTTCAAAAGGTTGAGTAGCTTTTATCAAGTGTGAAGGCTCCGGAGAATGGTATTCTGGTTTACACTCTTGACATTCCTTACAAGCTTGTGTCATGCACTTTACATCCTCTACTGAAAAGGGTAGATTTCGACTTTTAACGAAATGTGTCATACAAGTCATGCCCGGATGAGACAATGATCTATGCAGCTCATACAGCTTATCAATTGTAAGAGACATACTTTTCACTCTTGAAAGAGCGTCCGCTGGTATGTTTTCTTCCCCTGCTCAATATATTATATCAATGTTATACATCGACAATTCTATTCTCCACCTTATTTCTTTATTGTTCTGAATTTTGCTATGATGTTTAGTATCAAACATGTAGGCAATCGACTTTAGGTCTGTTATAAACTTAAAATGCGTTCCGGTCAGGTAATGCTTCCACTCACGTACTGCTTCTACTGTAGCTGCTGCTTCCTTCTCAATTGTTCTCTCGGATTCCTTCTCAATTGTTTCAATTCCGGGCTGTTCAATGTTCTTGAGAAGAAAGCTACTGGGCGTCCTTGTTGATTCAATATACGTACCTGAAACCGTCTAACTCATGTTGTAACCCATCACTTGAACATATATATGCTGGCTGTAATGGCGGTGTGGACACTGAGGAAGTAACTATTGTAGAACGTGATGGCCCAATCTGGCTGGCAAATGGATTGGCCATCGGGAAACATGTAGCGAAGCCAGAAGAATGACAGATACTGATGTAGGGCCACATTGCTGCTGAGTTGATGTAGCAGGGAACCATAATGTAAAAGGACTTGTTGGTGGTGTCAAGACATTCTGAGGGAATGCAGGTGGACTCACAGCGGGCGACAATGATACAAGGTGAATTATGCGAATGGCAGGCAACAGGCTCGAGCTGGAGGCAGCTGACAACAATGCCAAAGCTGTTGAGGAAATACCGGTTCGATGAGATGCTGTCGGATTGCTGACTGGCATCACTGGAACACTTGTGAACATGGTATGTAGCACAGGAGTTTGTTCAGTCATTTTGGGTATATTTTTGCAACAAATTAACTGTTAACTAACTTCAGAGAAAAGCACTAAATGAATGAGGACAGACCCACATCAGGGCCTCTTTTAACATAAAGACTGGGGGGGACATGGCCCCCCCAGCCCCCCTTACTGCCCCCCCAGTCGGCAATTTTGTCCCCCCCCCAGTAGAAAGTCCCTTTTCATATTTTTTGGTGTGAAAATAACTCCCAAAGTCAATATTGGACAACATAATTAATCCTTATTCCAGTATTCCTTTCGCAGAATCTCTGCTATTCCTTTGCCTTCCCTTTCTGGACAATGAAAAATTGAAAAATAGTCAAATAGGAAATTTCGATCTGCAAAAAAATATTTTTCAAAGTGGGACTGGGAACGAAAGTGGGAACATTGGGATTTTGGGGGAAATCTCGGGATATTCGGGAAGCTTAGTTGGGAATTTCAAAAACATAATTTACATCAAAATTTACATGCAAATTGCTTGCCTTTGTTTGTACTATTAGTATTAAAAATATGGTATGCAAATAAAAGAAAAGCGAATATTGAAAAACTGTTAAAACAAGAAGCGAGTAAATGCAAAAAGGTATCGGATTTCTTCACAAAGAACGAAAATGCAAGAACATCGTCATCGACATCGTGCGATACAAACGTTGAGAAGGAGTCAGAACAATTATTAAATATGGCGCCAATTGAAGTGGAAAGCGAAGTACAAGGCACTGCAGCTACTGGAGGCACTGACCAAGGAGAACCTCGTAAAGACAATGAACTGAATGAAGTGGATTTTGATATTCGAAATTCAGATAGGGAAGGTAATGTTCAATTTGTTCATACACGGGCTCCTTCGAATAATATTCCAAGCAATACTACACCTTCGACCTTATCGTCAACAAGCTCTGCAAATATAAACAGCATTACTTTGGTTACAACAAGTGACGTTGGTTTGCCAATAAGCACAGCAAACACATCGTCAACGCAAATGACTACTGAAACCACTACTGAGTATTACAGAGGCTACCCATTAAACCTAAAAGCACTTCTAGGAAAATTTGGAGATGGTGTACTATCTCAATATTATGAACGAAGTAGAGTTTCAACGCAGAATCGCCAGAAAGCTAGGGTTTTTGTCAAGTGTTGCATCTGTGGTGAATTCGAAGAGGAAGCAAAGCACTTTTCAGCTAATGGTAGAGTGTACATGGCACAAGGTGTGCGTTGTGATGGGAAGAAAAAGATACAAGATGTAATTGATCATCTACTGGGGCCTTCACATAGAGCAGCTCAAGAAAAGAAACAGCTATCCAAGTTGTGGAATGCCAAAGACAAACGTCACCCATTTATTAACTTGGCAACAAAAAGTGATCCAACAGTTTTGAAGACCTTGACTGAAATGGCAGTAGAGGTCTATAATGACAGTAAATCTTTGACTTTAGCTGCCTGGTCATGGCCAGGTAGATCTCTTGCTAATTTACATGCACAACAACAGTTTAGGTCTTTAATTGACAGTGACAACGTACAAAGTTTTACCCCGTTTAAACCAAGTGGAGAGGAACTTCATTATAGGGATCCAATGCATTATGCAGAAATGTTGGAGATAATAGGAGATACAGAGAGAAAGCACCTTAGAGAAGAACTCCAGAACTGTATGTGTTTTGCTGCACAAATGGATGGTTCTGTCGATGCTAGGCAACAAGATAAGAAATTTATATTTGTTCGATTCAATACACCCGAGGACCCTCTTTCTATTAAGACAAGATTTGCAAGTGCAAGGGAAAGTACCAAGCGTGGTGCTGAAGGTTTGTGTTCTGCCATGACAAACTGTTTTGATGACATGGGCCTTTCTAAAGAATGTTTGTAGTCAAAATTTGTTGGGATGAGCACCGATGGAGAGTCTGCAAACACTGGTAAGGATTCTGGACTGTGGGCTAGAGTTGAAAATTATGTTAGTCGTTCAACAAGAAATATCTGGTGTGCATGTCACCGATCAGACTTAGCAATGGAAGATGTGATGAGGTA